CAGCCAGACAGCTAGAGTCAACAGGTACTCTCTTTCAAGTGTTGGTGTTCAAAAAGAAAGTAAAATAACTAAGGCTAGGGACAGACATTACATATAAACCGGTTTAAGCAATCAGAAACTGGTTTAAACCTGTAACAGAACAGATGTTCAGTACACACAAACCAATTTGAAAATGGCTGAAACCGGTTTGAGATAAACCTAGTTGAATGCAGTATCAGACTTAACTGATTTGGGTCAAACTGGTTTATGCAATACTTGTCCCAGACCCCTTGCTGGTTTAAGTTAAACCAGCTCTCTGGGCTGGGCAGGGCTCTCTGCTCCTCAGCAGAGCTGGCCCCTTCCCTCTGCTCCTTGGCTACAGTTCCGGCAGAGACAGCAATTCCCTGCTGGGCTGGTTGGGGGTGGGGGGAAGTGGGGAATGACCCCTGCCTAATCAGAACATCCTGCTGGGGCCTGGCCATGCCCCCCCCCGCCCCAGCTCAGTACTGAGGAAGGGGAGGGAGGGCTGCTATAGTGCCCCCCCGGCTTCTAGCCTGAGCCATTGCAGGTGTGTGCCTACATTTCTTCAGTCCCAAGGGGATGTCTGTATGGTTATAAACTGATTCAGCCTAGCCAGATTAGACTAACCTGCAAAGATTGAATCAAATTCGGGCTCAGGCTTTTTGAATGTCTGTCCCTAGCCTAAGTAAGTGATTGTCATTTTGGGCATCTTTACACCTGCTCCTGGGGAGAGGGGAGGGAGGCATTTTTATTAGAGTGGCTCATGGAAGCTTCTCTAAAACACCCTCAGTATCTCACATATTCAGCATCCTGCACTTCAAAATGGCAGTGGAGATGCTTTAAAGCTCATTCCACAAGCTTTAGTTAAAAGTGTTGCCCACCGTCATTTTGAAATGTGGGGACGCTCAATACACATGATGCCGGGGCTCCTGGAGTAGTCTAATTAGAATTTTCCAGCAGACTTGATTAATTGTTCTATTTAGAATACATCAGAGCAGGCATCAGGCATGTGTATAGGTGCCCTTTAAGACTTTTGGTTGAGTGCTCTAGGCCTCCTAAAACTATTTTGTCTTTATCTTTCAAGGAGTGGTTTTAATCCATAATTATCTGGTGACTTACACTGGACTGAAATTTCAGACATCTACTAGGTTATTCACACACATTCAATATATGCCTACCTAAGGTACTTATCTGCCATTTAATTTGGAAAAAATGTAGCACTAGTTTGAAAAACAAAAACAGTTGCACTTTTATGAAACAGTGCTTGCACTTTACCACTTTATGGTAACTATGTTTTTCCTTTGAGACATTGCAAAGAACTCTCAGAACATTAGTTAAGTTTCAATACTGTTGCAAACTAAGTCTTCCTATTTCTCAGTATAGATTAAATCTATATTCTTTTCTACTGCTGGCTAAACTCAGTATAAATATAGTTGTACCTACATGGAGTAATATTTAGGGTTTCCTTGGAGAGCTTTAACATCCATTTTGCAGAGTAGGTAACTTACAAGAAATAGCACAGTAAATAACTCAAAGGGAGGCAAAGTTTCCCATTGAAATAACTGACTGACATGTAGCAAATGGTGTTTAAATTTCAAGTATAGATAACACTCAGGGTTTTGCCTGAAATTTTATTTACTTTTTAAAACCCAAACCAAACAATTATAGATCTGGGGGGCTTAGTCAACATTTATGAAAATCTTAGAACTAAGAGTGTTTAAATACTGCATTGTTACATTTATGTTTTAAAATAAGTAAATATGTTACCCTTATATTACCCAATTTTATTTATAATGTTGATGATGTTTATAATACTGTTTCAAAGTTAATTATTTGTATTACTATCCCAGAGACCTCAATTAGGTTCAATCCATTATACTAAGCCCCTTATGAACATAGAGGAGACAGTTCCCGCCTGAATATATCTGGAAATATTAATTTCCTTAATATCAAGTTGACCAGTTCATAGGTTCAAAACAGTTTGCCAAAGCACAGAATGGGAAAACTCACCCTAACTACTATATTTCAACTTGGGGTGGGGTGGGGGGGGAAGATGTTTAACTTCACTAATGGCTTCTGCCCTTTGTCAATATTTGTATGGACACTGTAATTATATTTAATAAAACTCAGTATAACATGAAACAAAAAAGCTGCTTACTGCAGCACTATTTAGGAAATGATTCTGTAAATAGTAATGTGTTCTATTCATTAAGCAAAGTTGTTTAAAAAATGTACATTACAAGACATCTTTATAGTCACAAAGCAATACATAAGACAGAATATCCCTCATGTATAGTACTTCAGTCATTCAAATCCCTAAATCACTCCTTTGCTATTCTCACCACAAAATTTCTCTTTGCTCTGGTCCTCGCTGTTCTAGTAACTGACAATGGCCAAATTAAGTGACAGAGAAAGTATGTATATCAGTTCTATTTTCTATTTAATAAAATTTGGTTATCTCGTATTTCAAACACCATTCAACAAATCCTGCTTGCCTTTGTTCAACACCTATAGCCTGAGGCAAGGCCTGCTGACCGCAAAGAAGAGACTCTCATGGACTTCAAGGAGTTCTGACCAGGCCTATAACAAATAGACCTTTCTAGTAAGCTTTTTAGACTTCTACTGGAATACATTCATTTGTAAGTAGTAGCCAATACTCAAACAATGAAGGAGTTCAGTATAGTACAAAATTACCAAAAAAAGGTTTATTACATTTAAGACTATTATTTAGTTAAAAACTGCAGGCAATTAAAAACAAGAGTTTCAACTTCTAAGAACTGTCCATCTAATAAGAAGCTGAAAGCACATGGATTTGTTCCATTTTAAGGGTAGCTAATAGCTATAATAAAAAGAAACTTACGAAGATAGAAATTAATGTCTGACAGTTGACACCACTTTGAGCACCAATAAATGACAGCTTGTAAAAAGGCATAGGAAGGAGATATGAAATAAATTTTAAAATGTTGACCAGATTCAATTAACATGCAATTAAGACAGTAAAAAAGCTAAACTAAACTTATGTCATGCAGTCAACACACACTATACAGGAGGAGGCTGGCATGAACATTGTGTTACAGAAATGAAATTTAACAAGAAAGGAAGCTTACAGTAAATTGAGCTGAAATTTTTTTTTAATCTAAGACATGAACATTGGCTGATCCCCATTAAGTTTCTTATTAATAAATTAACTAATGATTTATTCTTCTTTAAAAAAAACAAAACAAAATTCAATATGAGAATGCAGGTACGTCTTTGGTAGACATTCATCAAGAAATATTTAAAGCATAACAATATAACAAAATGAAAGACATTGTCATTGATACAGCAAATGCAGTAAAGAAATTAAAACCATCCACATTTTTCCAAAAGCACGCAGACTCACTGGTGTTATAAAATGCAGCCATATTTGTTTAACACCAGTTGGAAAGTGAAGTACTAGGAGCAAAGACAGCTTCTCAGTCTCAATACCAAAAAAGCTAATGCAGCATAGATTACAAAATATTCAAGCATTCTATGAGCAATACAATTTTTTTTAAAAAACTGCTTACCTGAAGCTATATTATTTTTCAACGTAGAATTCTTTTATGGATTCCCATTTATTTATTGAAGTTTTTCATTCAGATACTTGAGAGCTTACTAGCGAGTTTATATGGTAACATTAAGATTTCCTTTGAGGTAGTCAGGATAAGACTGTCTCAAATTAATTTAAATATAGTAAAACTAGTAGTTTTGAACAGTTAGAATTTAACAAAAATACAGGAAATACCTACAAGTATGTTTTCCTCAAAACCAGAGGTCCCATATATGGAATTCTCCAAATGTATTGAGCCATGCTCTAATTCATACAAAGCAAAAGTTGTTGTTTTAAAAAAAATAAAGAAACTTGTGTGTCTTATATGTCTCAGTGCACACAGAGAGGGTCACAAGGTGCATTTGCTCCCACTCTCTCAATCTAAACTACCAGCTTGGAAATAAATTTCAAGATATGAAGGAAAAAGGAGTTGGCAGTGGATTTATGGGGATAAATGTATTTGGTGAGATCATTTCCCACCCCCACCTAGTAAATTCAAATGTTACCTGTTTAAGGTAATAACTGCATCTTGGATTGAAACTCAAATAGGAGCACATATGCATATTAATGAAAGCTGATAAATTACACTTAGAAAGAATAAAAATCTATATGTTCAGTATCCCAAGGGTTAAACTTTTTTATTGTAAATGTCAACCATCTTCAATCTTCACTTACATTATATGTGCATCTCTTGCAAGTTACAATCCACCGGGTTTCATTTCACCCATAGGTAAGGAACCCTACTCTGACAGGAGGGCAATCAGGAAAGGGGAAAGCAGCATACCTAGCCTCTGTAGTGCAGTGCATTAAAGAGAACACGCCTCTTATTTGTATTATATCTATAGAACAACATTACTTATTTATTCTCTACATGAAGAAAAAAAATCCAGAAAACATTAAGTCTGAATATTTACAGAAACATGTCAAAGACCTCTTTCCTAAGAGGATCTAATAAGGTTTGCTACATGTAAAAATGCAGTGAAATGCTACATGTAAAAATGCAGTAAAAATTCTACCACATTTTAATGCCTAACACAAATTTCATGAAGCCTTGCAGTAGCTTGTATGTCTTCCACTTTTTTTCAGAAAACAAAATGTATGTGGTCCCCAAAGCGCGCACACATTTTTTGGCTTATTTTCAGAAGCAGTTGATGCATACTACATGTATATGTGTGCTTTGAAAGAAATGTACATGAACTGATTTATCTGAAAATAACTTTTTACCATATAAGCTTGTTAGACAGCTCCAGTGTTACTTGTTTTTGTAAACGAGACCCACAAGTGAGAATCTATGCATAAAACCTTTTGTTATTTCCATGAACAGAAAACTGTACCATTGATGAATACTGCCTGTAAATGAATAGCGCAAAACAAGCTTTCCATGCAATGACTATATAAACAGCAGCACTGCAAAAGTAATAGATCTTACATTTGGAGAGGGATCCATTTGTTCATATTTTATATCCTCCTTCCCATTTGCTTCAGAGTGTTGCAGTTGGTATGATCTGCCTTCAATGAAAGTAATATAGTCTTTATAAGAGCATAACGGGCCTGCCAGGATACCCATGAAATTACAGTTGTAACTTAAATATTCCAGTAGACTTGGCATGCGTCTGTAATTCAAAGACAAGCAACTTGTGAGATGTAATGTATGCTTTTTATGGAAGTCTACTGCAGGAATAATCAGCTCTCACATTATTGCTTATTCAAACTACAAAAAAAAGCAAGTGTTGAGAGGCAATCTATTTGCATTTCATAACTGCAATTTAAAATGTGAAGGCTTTTTCCTGTCTGTACTGAGCACTTCCAGATTTTTTTGCTGACTTATGGTGACTTTCACCAAGATGAGCAAATGAAAAACCTTAGAAAGAAATCACCTGAAGCATTGTTTCTTTCCTTTTCTTTTTAAAGAAAACTTTGTTGATTTATCAAAAACTTTGGTACAAACTCCTGAAATTTACAGTTCAAAATATTTTATTCTATGGAAATTATGGGATAAAAAGAAATAATACAGGACATCTTTTAGCTTCATATCTTAGTGGATGTAGGAAAAAAATGTTTAAAAACACAATAGAAACATCCGCAGCGATTGCTGGGATTTCTTTTGGAAAAGCCATCATTACAATTTCTACGAGCTGAACTGTCAACTCATATAAATGACTTTATGTTATTTCTCCCTGATATTTTAAGAGGGAGAAGGAGGAGACATTTAGCTTTTTTTAATAGTAATCACTGAACTGATAATAACATTTACGAAAAAAGATTACTAATATTCCCTTATTCAGTTTTTGGAAAGTTACGTTAACTTATGTGTAATTATTATAAATGATTAAGAAAGCTTTTTACTTTGCAGTTAAGTAATTTTGAATGCCTTAATTAATTCAAAATTCAAATTTATGACAGAAAGCACAGAGTCAACCCATCCAAACTAGTTCAGACTTCCCCTATAATTCATCAATATGTTTCTTTCCCGGTGTACCAAATATATTGATCTCTAAGTCTATTAGAATCTAGGCCACAGACCATTGTGTATTTAGACCTGGGTTCTCAAAAAAGTTGAGACATAAAATACATAAACGTTTTTCTAAATCTTTCTATATTGAAGATGGTAAGGTTATCACCAAATGAAATAAAGTTCTAAAGCTTCATCCAGAAGGGAAAACATTGCTATCATTTGAAAATCAATTCTAACTGTACTTGGTTCAAAAAATTCTCATCATCACATTTAGCAAAGAAAGTTTTCCTCTTGCTATTATTTGACTTATTACAAAAATTAAATTAATTTTATGTTTTACTAGCTCACCCCTTCTTTGTGTATAGTTCAACCTATTATTACAGAACCCAAACAGCCAGTTGATCAAGAGAGTTCTGAAATGTGGACATAGCAAAATAATCTTCTTTACAGATCACGTTAGACAAGTGGGGAAAGTCCTCAACACTGACTTCATTTGAACCATGAGAATCTATACCACAACTGAAGATCTGCCCATGATCTTGATCCGGGGGAGCTACCAAAAAGCTCCATGAACGTGCTACAAATCAACAGAAATGCTTCCTTTCAGTTCTCAAGACACATTGTTTCCTAATGCTTAAGAGGAGAATTTCTCTATAAAAACTTTTCATTTTTAATGTGGTAAAGTCCCGCTTCCCTCACACTACTCCAATTATCTTTGTAGGCCTAAGAATTCTGGAATAATAGGAGTTGATATACTATTTTCAAATACTAGAGCTTTTCCATTAGTGTAATTAGGTGCCCCACCAAAAATGGTCAACATTTTTAAAAGTTACACTGTTAAGAGGAGAAAGGTGCCAGGGCTGCACAATCCCCAGCCAGTGGGCCACATATGGCCCATGGGGCTGCTAAGGATCTGGAAATTTGGTGAGAGGTAGGGGGACAGCAGTGGAAATTAATACTGCCCTCAGTCCCTCCAGTACCAAAGTTCTAAGTCCAGGAGACCAGATGACATGGCCCTGCATATGGGATCCCACCAGTGAACAGGGGGCCAGGTGGTGGAACCAATCTGGTTTCAGGGATGAAGCAGTGTACCCAATATGGCTTGCGAGACCAGGATCCAATCCAGAATGTGTGGGATCAGGCCTTGGCTCTGTGTACACTGGATCTGGCTCACAGGCCCACCCTGTACCACTCATCCAGCCTGCTGGGCCAAAAGTTTGGGCTCCTCCGCTGATTTAGACTATAACGTTTCTTCCAAGAAAAAGCCTTTTGTCTTGGGACCTTAGATATACAATCCACTGTTCTGCTTTGAGTATGTGTGATGTATGCAGGATAAAGCCTGCTAATGCTTTTCCCAGGTCACTGAGATATATGTCTGTAAGATTTGTACAACCCATTCCAGGGACGAGCCTTTCAGGCTGCGTGCTCTTCCTGGCTACCTGCTGGCAGAGGAGCAGCTTGGAAGGTCTACATGTGCAAATTGCTATGACACTCCCATTTGGATGCAGGTTGAAACCATGGAGAGACAGGGCCGCCTCAAACAAGGCATCTGTTTGCAGCCCTAAGCATTTGTGAACTCTTGGTTGAGTACACATCACAGCATAAATTGGGCACTGACATTTAAACCAAATAAAGCAACCAGACAGAAAAAATAATCCTAAAAATAGTAATAAAAAAGACAAGTTCTTTTATACATTTATTTTCTTTATAAAATGTCAGTCTCCCATACTATGCCATTATCAACTGCCTCACACAGAGGGTGTAATTCTATTTGCCATTGTGAAGAACAAAACAGAACGGATACGGTCTGTTTTAATAAAAGCTTTGTAAGTAAAATATAACGTCTATTTCAACGGATATTTTACAAATGCAAAAATGCAATTAAATTACAAAGGTCCAGCACACAAACTAAAAGAGATCCAGTTAGGCTATCACCAGTCTTAAATATTACGTGATATTACATCAAAATAGAAACTGGTCTCATGTAAACCTAAGAAAACTTACCTTACAGCCAAGCATCTCTGTGATGGAGTCAGTTCTTCTTCCTTTCGAAACATTCCTGAAGGGGAAAAGGAGAATAAGCAAACATACATTAACTAGTCATTTCTTTGCCAGGGTTAGTGGATATCCTTGATAATTCTCCAATTCCCAAAATTCCTCCCTTTTACCTGCCCCATTTTTAAGGGCCTGCTGTCAAGACGGTGCTCCTAGTAGAGCTGGGTCAAATGTAATTCCTACTAAAAACAATCATTTTCAACAGTCAGGAAGTCTGTTAGGAAAAGGTGTGAAGTGCAGCCATCTCCAGCTGCCACTCTCCAGCACACCCAGATAACAAGGTTTGGAAGAAGAGGGGGGGGATTGGGGGGGTGGGGGGGAAGGTAGCATTCATAATATTGCTGCCCTTGCTTCTGTCAAAATTAAAAGTTTTGAAGATTTTTAACTCTCCTACTCCCAAACCTTTCTAACCTAGGAAGTCAAACCTAAATACTAATCTTCATCTAGTAATATCTTATGAAATCATTACAACCCCCAGGGCTGCTACTCAGTCTGCATACAAATATTCAAATAATGTGGAAGCATTCTCCCAGGTTTGTTGTTATGGCACAAACTTACCTAGAGCCACGCACACATATATTTGCATACTGAGGCCCTCCAAACTAGAGAGCTTGCAGTGCTGACGCTGTGCAGTCAGGGAGGAAGTGAGGGGGAGAGAGAGGGGGTGGGAGGTCTAGGAACACATCTCAGTCGGCATACCTACACTTTACTGCTCAATAGACTAATCTACTGCATAGTAAAGCATCACTATTTAAGGTGGGGGTAGATTTACTGCGCGTTGCAGATAGTAGATTTACTGTGCATTAGCTAATACTCAGTAGTGCATGTGTAAATGCCAACCAGGAGTAGATTTGCTCCCGGTCAGCCAAAACAGCAGGGGGGCAGCTTTCTGCCAGAGGCAGCGCAACGTGACTGGGAGTCCCTCCAGTTATAGGGCAGAGACAGCTCTTTAGCAGTCCCTGGCTAGCCTTTGGACCCCTGGCTTGACCCCCGGGGACCTAGGCCAGCTGATGCCTGCCCCTGGCCACTGTGTGCTCATGGAGTGAGCACATGCTGGTTGCAGCAGTGCTGCAGAGCCCCAGCCTGACCCCCAGGCTTCTCTGGCTGCTCCCTGGCCTGTGGGCACCATGCCCAGCTCTGAGGGCATGTGTTGGCTCCAGCAGTCCCACAGGCCATTGCGCTCGGAGAACTGTGCCTTCTGGAACAAGCTTTGATTGAGGAGAAGCACACTGCCCCCCTCAAGAGGATCCTGGAGGTGCAGAAGAAGCAGGCTGCTGTGGTAGCCCAGGCAGCAGAGGTCACGCAGGAGGAGCACCAGGTGCTGGACACCATCCTGACCCTGGCATTCACCTTCATGTCATCCACTGCCAAGCTGCCGGTTCTGGCCCCATCTGCCATCTGGAAACCATCCACCACCAGCCCTGGCCCTGGCTCTGGCCCTTCCTGCTGCCTGGCAGCCACCTGTGGCCTCGTGCCAATGTCCCCAGTGGGCCTAGGAGCAGATCC